TTATTTTTTGCGTCAATGGATCCGTGCGCGGCGGCATCGTCAAAGCGATCGGTTCAATTAACAAAATATACTATAAACGGTCATTGGGATTATAAAACGGGATGGTTTATTCTACTACAAACACGCATACAATGTGTGATTTAATTATCATATCGTACTACCTTGGTATACCCTTACTTGTTAATAGTGTTAATATAGTGAATTGTTTCGTGTTACCGTGATTATAGAAATACTATTTCCCTAATCGTGCTTATTAACGGTTTAGGCATACCAAAACAGCGACAATAATATTACAGAACGGTGCGAGGGTATGTCGTGGGAAAAATAATAAAAATAACTATGCCTTCAATATATTGTGAAGAAAGCGTTTTCGAGGGAATCGTTTCCGTGCCGATTTGTTAATGGATTTTCATTCATCGCCGATAGTTCGAAGATAATCGCCTATACGAGTCACAACGGTTATCTATGTTTTGGAAAAAAAAAAAACATAAATACAAAGTACGTGTACGGCGTATGACTATACAAGATAGCGTGATGGACTGCAGATGATAAGTAGTCGGAAATGGCCAAAAAATGTACCTACGCGTTATTCTTTTGTACTCGCCCGCATCGTCCGATGTATTGTTGTAAAATGTGGAACTTTTTGAACCGTTGACACGAAATACGTTCACATCGTACTATAATATTATTGTACATATCAATATAACATGATGTAATTGTTATAATATATCATTATGTAATATGTGCCATGTGTGTGTGTGTGTATGTGTGTGTGCGAGGTGTACCTAATTTTAATACTATTCTACACAATAATGTTAGGAATAAAAGTTTAACGATAATCCGTAGTGAAAAGTTTGTGCAATGTCGAGAAAAAAAGGGGTTCTATATAAATTTTCGAAGTCAGTCTGTAGTCAAATAATTGTTATTATCGTGTACAACTATATAATGCATAATGTACAGTAGAATTACAGCATGACTCATTTAACACGAATCAGTCAATGTCCCTAAACGTTTAAAAAATATTTAGTTTTTTTTTCGAATTATTTATAAGCGTCGATTTGTATAAAACGTTTTACAAGTCCGTCCCAAAACGGTTCGAAATGCTTTTTCGTGGACGTCACATCTCCTATAGCCACGGTTTCCAATGTACACGCAGTACCTAACGCCGCCATAACATTAATGTATAGTCTGTCTGCGACTTAATTTTTAATTTCGATATTTATATAAAAAAGAATTACATTCCTACATTAAACTTACTCAAAAATTTAGAATATTTTTCTCCAATACTAATTATAAGTTTCGTTAATAAAATAATTAATAATGCAATATCGTACTTCTGAAATAATTTATTTTGAACAAATTAAAATGTCTCGGAAGTCATGTCGACGATATAATAATAATAATAATAAAATAATTTCATTCGTGAAATTCAATTGACAAAATCAAAAATTCAAAATCTATAGTATATTTTTAACGAGCACCTATAAATCGTTATATTATTATCATAGTTGATAGACACATATATATCATTATAATATATTTTATTCATAATCTATACACAATAAATCTACATTAAAAATCTATAAAAATATCATTGTACACGGTTCTATTTGGAATTTAGTAAATATGGCGTATAGCACCTGGTATAAAGGCGTAAAACGTTGAGCTTTTCACTAAAAAATAAGAAATATTTAAATTTTATTACACAAGAGTGTTTAAATAAGTCTCTTGAATTATTATTACTATATGTTACGAGTTATAATACTCATAACTCACGAGTAGTTATAACGTGTAATTTAATACGCGTTCGTCGCGTTCTAATAGCAAAAACGACGCGAATAAAAAAAGATATCCAAATAATTACAAATTAAATATTTTGACGAGTGCACGGTCGTAATAGCTGCTAATAGAAGCGATGCTTACTAAATACGTATAAATCTTTGCGAAGAATTAGCCAAAACAGAGAATAGTGTATATCTGAAATGTATACAGCGCAAGACATTATTATTTTCATCATTTTTCATCAATATTTATTGCGTATTTAAATAGTGTACCCGTGTACCTAATGGTGAGTAAATAATGTATTTTATCGTGGAGTTAAGTAAAAATGACTCGAACGGTCGATACAGCTAGTTTTACGGAATACAATTCGTAATACTTACTATAAATTCCATACCTAGGTATGGTATACGTTATTGTCAAATAAATCATTCTTTTTCTTCAAAAAGTTAAAATAAGAAACCATTTGTAGATAAATAAATATAGTTATAATACAATACATCGTTGTATGTTTTATTAACATTATATCATATAATAAATTTTACGTTTCCGACAAATTGTCGCAATTAATGTAAGTAGAATACTAGAACGACTAGAACCCTATACGATATTCCTAACATCTAAGTTATTGTTAAAAACAAAGTTTTCGTAATAATTGACATATGAAATTATGTATCTATGTATATGGTATATATAGTTTGAAAATTGACTTTATCGTGGCGATTATTAATATAATCGTAAAATGTAAACGTGTAAAAAGAAATCTATGTTATAATGATTAAATTATCTAGTCTATATTATTGAAAAGAAAAATGACTTTAAATAATTTTTTAATAAATGTAGTAAAAATAGACAGTCAAGCCTATGGCAACGAGTGTGTACAATTATTATTACGCGACTGTGGTAAGTGATAAATGTAAAACGTCTCCTCCAAAAGTTAACATACATAATATTATGTATATTATATATATTTATTTATTTTTCATAAATGCTACGTCCTACATAATAAAATTTTTTCTTTATTTTTTTTTATTTCTTTCTATAAATATTAAGCGTAAGTATAGCGTACATGTTGTATATGATTATTGTCTATGTAGAACAATGTGGTTTAGTCAATTGTATGTAATAGTAATTATTGCAAAGTTATTTTACAGACTAGCGTCGTAGATATTCGAAAATCATGATGGAAAACCGCTGCGGGAGGCGTGAGTCTTGATGGTATAAGAGGGGAAGGGGAGGAGAGAGAAAAGGAGAAATTTAAAGTTTTTGTGAACCTCATTGTTACGAGTTCTGCAGTCGCTGCGCGCAACATAATAATGTATATTATAAAGTAAACGTATAACCGTATACAATTGTCTGTCGAGGTTTGATCCGTTATATATTTATATATAGGTGCCTAATATAATAATACAACTATAAATTAGCAAAAAAAAAAAAAAAATAAATAAAAACAAAAACATAATACCGCGGACACAATACGACTAATTCGTATTGAAATGATCGTGCTCAAGGTTTGCTCGGTGTCTGCTTGCCCTCAATCATCCTCTACTGTACCTGCAGTGGCGAAAAAGAGTGGATATAGGGATTGTGATGAGGCTGCTACCTCTACTATCTCGTGTGTATTAATATAATATATATATATATATGTGTGTATTAATATGTATTTATATATATATATATATAAGCAAGGGGGCAAGTAAAATTCGCAAAACGGTGTATACGCATGAGACGAGATTTATCGACCGGAAAATGAGAAAATCGCGGCGACGACGACGAATCACCTACGACACGCGTTCGGCATAATAATATATTACGCATAACTCGGAATACCATAATAAATTGTTGTATCGTAATGTATGTTTTTAGAGTTACACGCACGACGCGTAATTCGGTCACCGGTGAAACGAATGATCGCAGCTGTTATTCTGTTTTCGGCCATAATTTTGTGAAATCTTGTCGGTGGCGTACGTAGGTGCAGTGCACCGAATCACACCTTCAACACACTTTGTTCGAATTGTACTCAACTCGTCCCAGACAGTAATAATAATTATCGACTGCATACAAATCGATTTTTGCATATCTTCCGTTAAGTTACAAAGACTATGACGAGCATTGTTGACTTTAAAGTGACGATAAATGAGTCGCTGTAAATTGCGGCCTAAACATATTTTTATTCGTACGTAAATCACGTCTAAGGATATATTTGGAGGATCAATAGTTTCTTCCGTTTTTCAAACCTAGAACTGGAAATATAATTTAATTGACATTGGTTTCGCTATGTTTGAAGTCGCTAATGTGAATAAAACAATGAATTATTAAAATTTAGTATCACGCACGACCAACCGGTAAAAATTTGAACAAACGTATGTTAATTTCCGCTCGGATGTATATTTTTTTAGTTTGCAGTTCATTCATATTTTCCCGTAAATTTTAATTTATGTATATTTTTTCATAATTTTTCTACTTTTTGTTCCCCGAGTTTTTAAACTATCTTCGCATCACTTTGCACGTTTTTTTTTTTAAATTTAAATTTCCTAAAACGCAATTTACGCGCGTTTCAAAAACAACCGAGCCGCAATTCACGCGCACGTGCGTACGGTTGTGACCTTTTTTTTTGCCGGGTACGCAATTTTCACCTACTTCGGACGATGTACATATAAAACGGATCGAATCATCCGTGTGGGTGGTCTTAAGAATCTGTAACGGCAGGACGTATTATTTAAACACGACGACGTCTCCGCCACACGATCGGTAAGATACTGCAGACAGATGATAGGGTCGACGTCGTCGGTCTGTGTGGTGTATTCCTAAATCGTATGTGCTGCGTTGGCGATTTTTGCGGCGGCGGAGCTTTCAGTAGGCGGGTGCGGCGGGGTGATGGACTGTACACGCAGCTTTATACATAAAACATAACCGTGGCCGCCGTAAACGGACGAAAACGACAATGATAATAATAGTAATAATAAAAATAATAATAATAAATAATAATAGTAAAAAATAACAACAACAAAAACAACAACAACAAACAACAACAACTGCTGCAACGACGACAACGATAACGATGACTCCGGCGGTTAGGTATATAGTATAGTACTTATTTTTTTATATTTATATGTATATATATGAATATATACATCCATATATATATATATACATATATGTATGTAGTGTATAATATATATATATATATATATCTGGTGGGTTAGGTGTATATAATTATTGTTAACGATATATTATTATAATATGTATTATACGTGTCGTTTTAATTCCCATCAGCTGTGCGGCCCTTCGGACGTCTTGTGAACCAGCGCCTTGTGCTGTACGATTTTCGCTTCGCTCGCCCGTCGGAACGCTAACCGTTTGCTGTGCGCCGCCGTCTGCTGCTGCTGCTGCTGCTGTTGCGCGTTCGCCGACGGCAACGGTTTTGGGTCGCACGTGCCTACCGGCGACGCGTCCGTTATGGTGATGCTCACGTTAGCCGCCGCCTGTTGCTGCTGCTGGCCTAACTGGTGTTGTTGCTGCTGCTGCTGTTGCTGGAGTTGTTGCTGCTTCCGGTCCGCCGCCGTGCCGCTTCCGGTCGCCAAGTCGCCGACTCCGTCCAGAGACAACGGCAGCACCGCGTTCGGCTTGGCCTCGGGCGACGGTTCGCTGATCGTGATGTGCACCGGGCCGCCGCCACCTCCCTCGACGCTGTAAACACAATAAAATCAACAACGGGGTCGTCAGAGTCAGGTCTACGACGACAGACACACGGTAGGTGGTACGGCCTAACGCTGTAGCCCGAGGGCCCAGGGGCGTATCCTACGGGGGCGAGATATGCGTATTATTCTCCGCACCTTTGTATATATTATGATACACCAATAGATGGATTTCGTGGATTATTGTTGTTTGATTTTTATTCGACCATTTCTGGCGAACTCAAACAGCAGTGGTGGGACAAAGCCAAACGTAGATGTGTGGAAAGATCGAATTTGCTATAGATGTCAAGTAATGCCGAGGACCTTTTGAGATGACGAGGCGTCGCGCCACCACTAAACCTTAACTTTGTCAGTGATTTCCGCTTTCGTTGAATTACAAAAGTAGAAATCAATGTAACGACTCTTTTAAACATTTTCCGTAAAAATCATAATATTAAACAAGACACTCGAGCCTCATTAAAATTTTAAGGTAGAGGAAATAGAGAACTTCTAGTTATTTATCGTTTGGACTGCAAAGTTTAGTGACGGCCCGGATTATTATAAAATATCAATACTATTTATTACGAGCAGGGCTCGTAAATTCATGTTCTAAGCAATGCCTAAATATGCACGCACTTATGTAATAAAAACTGGGGAAATATGCATTTTTTATATGAACTAAAAATGTAAAATTAAACACTTAAAATAAGTAAATTAAAAGAAAAAAAGACTAAAATTATTGAAAATAAACCATTTTAAAAGTATTAAGAAGATAAGACTTTTTCATATAACATATTTTTCACTAATTTATTGCTTAACGCGGGTACGATACACTAATTAACCAAATGAAATAGTGACTACTGTATTTTTTTTTTTAATAATTTTACGATTGCGACTTATACCATATATTTAATACAGTACAAAAATATAAATTATTGTAATTTTCATTAAAATTTTGGCCAAAAATACGCTAAATATGTCTAATGAAATGAAAAAAACGCATAAATATGACAAATAGGCAAAAAATCTCTAAATATGCAAAAATATGCAAAATAAAACTTCACCTACTTAACCACGATACCTTGAAATGGATTTCTATGTCATCTAGCATTAAATACGACTTAGTAAGATTGATATGTAAATGCATCAACTCATGAGCCCTGATTATGAGTTACCCATAGGGAAAATGAAACCTCAACAATAGCGTAGTTTAATCGCCTATCCGGAACGTCGTGCGATAAGAATTTTATAATTAATGCATTACCTAAATATCAATTTGCTTATAATTTATCGTACTAAATATTTATTATGAAGTCATATATTTTTTGTAAAATCGTGTGAATAATAAAAAATTAACCAATTAAATGTTTTTCAAAAAAATCTTAGTACGTTTTCTGTAGTATCGGAAAAATTGACCCAACGGTTTAAAACACCGAGACGTAAAAAAATAAATTACGTCAAAAGAACGTGTACCTATGTCATTTGTTATGGTGGTAATGATTTATTTTATGAGTAGAAAACATTTCTTGAAAACTGAAAAACCGCGGTTGCAGTGGAATTTATATACTGGTATCGCATACACGACAACCTTGGATGTTCTGTACCTATTAGAACTTTAAATATAAACTAATTTATTTAATCACTGTTTGATTTGTGAAATTATTTCAATATTTGATTAGTAAAAATTAGTAAGTAGATATTAAAACTAATCAACTATTAATTCAATATACGATTTTAACTAAAAATAAAAACGATAATTTGGTAATAAAACATTTTTTGAAAATTTTTCAACTATTAAGTTACTTTTAGTTATCCTTATATTATGCTTAGGAATTGAAAAGGATACATATTTTATAAATAGCTAACTTTTAGAATCTATATATGACTAGAGATTTAAACTATTTTTAATACAATATTTTTTCTCGGCATCAAGTGCCGGATGGGGCTCAACAATATTATTTACGTAGAAGCGGTTACATCATTATTCTTTAATTCATGTCTAATGAGGGTCGGAACTATAATAAAAATGAAAATATAAATTATTTAAGTTTAAAACCCCCAAAGCTTAGGTAAAAAATTATGTTTAATTAATAAAACTTGCGTTAATATAAGCCTAGTTTGATCACATCAATGTCGTACATTAATTTAATTTAATTTTTTTATTTGCCAAGTGTTGAGCTATTATTAAAGACGCCCACTACTGACGGTAATGGATTACTAATAATGTTATATACTTATTATTTATTAATGTTACTATTTATAAAATTCGTGGGTTTTTATCGATTAAATGCCGACTGAATATGTCACAAATAAATTATTGTAGTTGATGTGTTTTAAGTAATAATATAAAATTTTAGACCTGTCATTTGTAAAAACGATGAAATGTTAAAAACATTTTTATTCGTTTAAGTGTTTGAAGACTGCTAGTTCAATCAATGGTTGAATTTGTTTATTATTTATTTATTTATTTTTTTTGAATGCAGGGCATATTTTTTTTATATAAATAGAAATTATAAATATCACATTTGATTAAAGCTTTTTTTTTAAGTTTTATAAAATTATAGTTATAACCTACTTAATGCAACGTGTTCAAGTGTTTTCCTTATTAATTAAAATGTATTCGTATCGCTTTATAAAAAAAACAAAAAAAAAAAACTTTTAAATGCGTTTCTATCTAATGCCATTTATTCAATCGTGTATGTTTAAGATTTTAATTAGTATATCTAAAATTTTTTTTTTTTTAAAACAAGATTATTTTTCTTTTAGTTTATATTATCAAATAAATATATCTTTCTAGCCTTAATTTATAGATAAACTTTTTCGTTAAATACACAATCAAGTTAAAATTGTATTTCAAAATCTTTATTGTATTGTTATAATAATTAACATTTCAAGTTTTGGTATAGTTTAACTCACAAATTGTGTAATCCTTCACAACATGTATTTATATACCTTTTCCATTAATTAATATTCATTATACGTCCAAATTCAAACATGGTTAACTTGTAGGTACTTAATAATAAGTAACAACAAATTATGTCTATTAAGTGTTTATGATATGCATAACTATAATAATTAACATTAATACATTTAGTATAAAATTAAATGATAATTATTAAAATAAGTTATGAGTATATGTAAAATTTTAAATATTTAATTTTATTCATACAAACAAATGTAACATTATCAATATAATGAATAAATATTTTGGTTTTTATTTGTATAGAAAATGATAAGCTAGAAAATAAATTTGCAAGTTATGTAATCGAATCAATTAAATATGGAATACATAAGAACATTGTTTTGTTATTATAGAAAGATCCTCTTTGGTTTATTAAATTATACTACTTCCATTGAAAGTGTCTTCATGAAAAATGTATGTTTTGATCACCGTAAATTAACAATACAATACATTCTAAAGCATTAAGAATTTAAGAATATAGTTTACTTTTTGAAATCCAAAAGTCAATACCACGATTGTTCATACTGTTCATAGAGAAAAGAAATAATAATTTTAAAATATGCACATTGATAATAAGATAATGTATATCAAAACGTGTTATTCGAAATTAATTTTAAATTAATTAATTCAACAAAAACCTTACATCTATATTGTATATTAAATGATTTAATTAGGTAATTCTTATTCAAATACGTTTTTATTTAACAACTTTAGCGGTACCTATATTTTGTTTTTGTGGCTGTTGTAAAAAAAAACAACATATAGGTACTTTTTAAACTCAACTTATTGGTATGGGTTGGTACTAGGTCCGTGAAGTTAGCGGAAGTATAAAAAGCACCAAATCCCGCTATACTGTCAAGTTTTAGTGCTCAATTAGTGCTTTTAAAATATATAAATATAAAAATTAGTGCACTGATGACTTACTTTGATTTTTTCTTGGGTGACTGCTCTTCGTTTTTGCTTATTGTATCTAACTGAGCGTTAGATAATAAAAACATTGGAAGGTTAAGCCAGAGAGACGCTCCTAGTTCAGATATGTCAGACGTGTCGGAGGCTCTGGAAGATTTTCTGGACGAAGCTCTAGAATTACTACCGATACCTCCTCCAATACCACTGATTGACATGCCTTTAACATGTAAGAATGATGAAAGACGTGACTGCCAACCTCCGGGGCTTGAAGACTGCGTATCCGAACACAAATCCGTCAGATCTTTTTTCCTCCTAAACAATTTTTATTTTAATGTAGATAGACGATGTTGAAAAATTTGGATAATTAATTATTGTAACTATAAAAATATTCCGAAAAAATTAACTTTGTGTTTAAAAAAAATAATATTTGATCATTATTATATAATATTAGTGAATGATGACTATACATAGTTTAGAATGTATAGTAATTAATATCACAAGTGGATTACAAATGTTGATTAAACGTGAATTATTTTAAAGTAGTCTTATAGAAAATAAATAATACATTTACAATGACAAAAAATTAAGTTTGGCTTACATAATATAATCATCAAAAATGTAATATAATGATGGAAAGGATACAGATATAAAAAAGCAAATAAAGACAAGAAAAGGTATAAATTGGGTTAATAATATTAAAACTACGGATTGGAAAAGTGTTCAAAGTAGATAGCGTTGATGGATTGTTATTTATCTAAGTAATGCGAAACAAATACAATACCTTCGGAAGTTTCGGTAACTTCGTTGTATTAGTCTCGCGGCTTTATCTTGTCGTTTCCACAGACGCGTAGATGACACGATTTCCAGTTCTTTACGTGTTGGGAATTGTTTTTTAAACTTCACATCCATTTGATCTCGTAGCTGAACACAAATATTAAAATTTAAAATCATTATAAAAACATTATATAATAATAATAATAATAAAAAAGTGCAATGATTATCGATTACTTTTTTGAATTCGTCCGTTTCGTCGACGTGACCAAGCACGTGTTTGACGAGTGCATGGAGTATGTCTAAACAATGTATCTTGTTGCCTCTCGCAATTGGCAAATTGAAGCTGACTAAAGCCACGATATTCGGTTTAGGTATGCCTAATGGTGGGTCCAAGCTTGCAATGAAATCAGATATTTGATTGAATGCTATGAACTGCGTTGCGTGCGGATCGTATCTAAAATAGAAAAAACGATGTTTAAAACTATATGATTAAAAAAGTTTTGGTATTTTCCAATTTACTTAGACCATCGGATGTAAAACATTTCAAGATCGTCTTCTACAATGCCGATCTCTTCTTCTTGATGAGCTTGGTTAAAGTTTTCTAATATAATAGCTATGTACATATTTATAACGATCATATAGCTTATTATAATAAAACTCGTAAAGTACGTTATCGCAAGAATAGGGTGTCCACAATTGCCATTTGGAAGTCCTGGAGATTCTAGTTCACAATCCGGTGGTTGTACCATAAGGGATTCGAGTACGTCATTCCACCCGGCCGATGTCATCAGCCTACAATAAACAGATGTGGTTTGAAATAACTTTTTGGAATTTCAAGAAAACACTATTAATGTACTAACCGGAATAATAGTTGCATACTTCTACCAAAAGTCTCAAAGTTTACCATGTCATTAATGGCTTTTTGTTTTTTGACATGCCCGAAAACAGACATACCAATAATGGCATATATAAAAGTAATCAAACCAAGAAGTGCGCCAATATTAAAAAGTGCTGGTAAAGACACGATTAAGGCGAATAAAAGTTTACGTATACCTTTGGCGGCCTAAAATTCAAATAATTAATTAAAGTAATAAATAATAACACAATTACAAAAGTTGACTAAAAATTTAATTTGATTATGAATACTTAGTAGTAACTAGTAATAATTTATTATTATTTCACCTTAATCAATCGTAATATTCTGCCGATTCTGAATACACGAACTACTCTCAAAAGTGTTGGTGATACTGGAAAATCGATCATAATATCTTCCATAAGTATACCAAGAACGGATGCTAAGACGAGTAAAAAATCAAAAACATTCCAAGGAACAGTAAAATAATGAAATCGAAGACCAATAATTTTCACTAAAGCCTCTGTGAAAAAAAAGTTATAATATATATTATGTTGTAATTTACACCTGTATAATTTTGCAATTTTGTAATGATATGTTTGTAAAATAATAAATTACCTAATCCAAAAACAGTAGTAAAAAATGCGTTGCAGACTTCTAATATGAAAAACACAGGAACAGGCTGATTATAATGTTCAATACCCATTGTCAGCATATTTAAAAAAATCAACACAAAAATTGCTATCTCAAACCTACGAAATATATATTTACGTTTTAATTATTGGAAATTCGTAAAAATAAATTATAAATAAATAGACCTTCGGGAATTTGATAAATCGTAAAATATTGCCATAAATTGATTGACTGGACGCTTAATTACTTTTTGTGGCTTTTTCCGGCCTAGTTTTTTCATGGCCGTGTAATAATGCTTTTGACTTTCAGTCAAGAACATTTCTAATACTCCGCCTTCATACTGCAACAGATAGTTCATTAACATACAAATGACGTAACCTCATTAAAAAAAAAAAAAATGTGTACCTTTTTTTTTAGCATGTTGAAGTTATCAATTATAACACCGATGAAAAGGTTAAGAGTAAAAAATGCTCCACACACAATAAATATCACAAAATATATGTAAGCATATAAATTTGCCTCATATTCGGGTTGTAAGTCTACACCACGAGCATCTACAGCATCTGCCATTACTTCCATCCATCCTTCGAATGTAGCCTGAAAATATAATATTAAAAAATATGGTATAGTATAAGAAAATATAATTACATTTTAATGAAAATATAAATATCATTATTTTGATAACAGTGTAGCGTGAGTACATTTCTTCTAAAATATTAATAAACATCACGAATAAACTTACAACTTGAAACAAAGCCAAATAAGCTATGCCCACGTTATCAAATGATATTTTTGAGTTTAACCAAGTATAGTTATGGAGCATGCAGTCACTGCGATTATTGACAATCTACAAAAATTATAAAGTTTTAATTTAACACCAATAACAAAAAAAAAAAAAAAAAAACACGTCAAGTACATACGTTTACGGATACACGGTCTCCGTTGTCGTCAACACACTTAAAAAATTTTCCACCAAAAAACTGTACACCCATGATTGAGAATATCAACCAAAACACAAGGCAAACCAGCAGAACGTTAAAAATTGATGGAATTGCATACATCAGAGCATTCACAACTATCTAGTAATATATAAAATAAGCTCATATTATATTACTTTTAATGTAAAAGTATTTTTGGACTTCGAGTACTTACCCGCATCCCTTGCCATCTCGATATAGCTCTGAGTGGTCGCAAAGCTCGTAGAGTTCTTAACGATCGTAGAACTTTTAAATTCTCATTTTCATCAATTAGTAAACTGAAAATTGACATCTGTTTCGAAAAAAAAAATCAAATTAAACCTATTATATCATCTAATATTTATTTATATTCACCATTGCAATAATGAAGTCTAAAGCCGTCCAAAAACTTTTAAAGTATTTATAAACTCCTAACGCTATCCATTTTAGCATAAGTTCAATAGTGAAAATAACACAAAACGTAAAATTAGTCCAATATAATGCAGTTTTGAGCGTTTGATTTTCATCCAGATAAATATCTTCAAAGCATAAAGTTACACTTGACGCAAAAATCAACACTAGTATAAACCATTCAAATATCGGAGTATCTACTACTACGAGAGTTTTCTGACGAAAAGTCATCCATCGGTCGCCAAAACAAGTATCGACCCATTCTTTTTTTATCCCAATCCTAAACATTAATATGCTTTATTATTAACAAAAATATTTCAATAGTATATTATAAATAATTTAATAATTACTCTAATAAATTGTATTATTTTTTATGGTCATTGTACAATTTTATTTAAATATATTCAATATAAAAAAATGCATAATATACCTTTGATAGCAACTAAAAGGAAAACATTCTAGTGGAGCTTTTGATTGTTTATTTCTGCCAAACCCTGGAAAACTAGGAGCTGCATCAACGAAATTTCCTCGGGAGTCTCTTCTTCCACCCACGGTTAATTCGTCCACATAAGATACAAGAGTTATCCAAGGTTTCTTTTTGGACTTTTCATCAATTACTAAATCTTTATTATTCTGTTTCAAGAAACACGTTTCATCTTGATCGTCAATTTCGTCTGGACAGTCAAAGTTAAAATAAAATATACAGTTTAATCACTAAAATAATGTATTTATAAAAGAAAATCGAATTCATTATATTAAAAATTAAGCTATTAAAATAAAATGTTCTTTACATAGTTTAAGAAAATGTTTTTTTTTTCATTATTTAGCTATCAGTTAAAACTGATATGAAAATGTTAAACGTACAATTTTATATGTATAAGTATTATAAGTATAGTATTTATGACTGATTAAATTATTTATTTTAAATTTAAGTGATTTATTTTTTTTATAAAATGTATAAATCTATCCTTTGAACTTAATACTTAAACGCTAGTTCTAGTTATTAAGTTCTAGATTAAATTAAATAAATTAGAAACATCAATCAATAACAAATAATAGTGATTGATGATACATGAATATTATATTGTATCATTATTAAGTTTACGTTACACAGTTTTACTTTGCAAAAAATGTTTTCAGTTAAAATGCTCAACATAGGTTGGTTATAATTTGATGTCTTGTTGTTCATTGAACGAGTTAGATAAATAATTAATTTTATATTCATTGCATATACTAGACGTATTGTTTTTATTTAAGAAAAACGGCAATTTTAAACTTCTCAAAATGAATAAAGTGTGTATGTTAAATTTCTCTTGATTTATTTATAAAATTTAAGTATTATTTAAAAAAATTGCTGTTTATAAAATAAAAATAAGCAAATTAAGATTCAATCGTTTTTGAAAAATATAAATTTTACCTTTACTGCTGTCTTGTCTGGTGGCTAATATGTATGATCTTCGATGTATACCTGCTGGTGGTGGACTAGTGTAGTGTTCGGATAATTCAAATGTTTCATCTAACATTGGTAATTCCAAGTCTCTTGTTAAAGTAGGTGCATAACACATGGCGTCTTGCATGATTTGATGGTATAATAAATCATCAGATGTTGATTCTTGGCCACTAAATACCGGTGTTTGTTGAGTTGTGAACGGCCCTTGGTTATATCCTGTAACCAAAATTAATTTAAATAAAATAAAATAATATTTTTAAATTTATATTTAACGGAAATATTATAAATAGTGTGTTCAAACGAATAAAGAATTTTTACCATATTTTTCAGACAACCGAATGCGAGGAATCAAAATTCAAAGTTACGAACATAGTGCAGGGATGTATATAGGAAGTTCCATAAAAATAAGGTTATATAGATTAACACATATTTGCCACTATAAATATTAGTAGCACACCCTGTGTCTGTAATACGTTTAATGAATATTAAAGTTATTGTCACATTAGTTAACCCAAACTGTATGCGTTGTAATTAATAATTAATTAGTAATTTCTAAAACATAATGAGTATGCTAAGAAAATGACTTTGTTTGTATAGATAAAATTTTAATATAGTATACCATACATAATATTATGTACTATAAGTTTATAATTATTATTGAAATGTTATTATGTATAAAAATGTCGGTGTTGCGTAGATAATGAATTTAATGAATTTTAAGAAGGTAAGCTTAACATATTTTTGAAGATTAAATAAAAAAAAAAATATAAAATTACATTCACTTTATATACATATATTTGAGAATGTAAATTAATTAAAAATATGAATATTATCTCGGTGATATTTAAAATGAATTAAAATACCCATACGGTGAAAAGGTGGCTAAGGATTTTAGGATCAGCGTGTAGAGTGACTGCAACACATATAGTGTCACAGATATTATAAGCATCGCCTATAAATTATATTTTATAAATTATACACACAAAAGTCAACATTATTAAACAGAACAACAACAGGCAGGTGGAGTTGATGATTTATAATTTAGAAAAATAAATTGCGAATCGAAGACATGCAATAAACGTCGAACCAATACCAAGGATCTGTTGACATAATTAATGAGAAATGCATAGTCTGTAAGGATGAATTTACGATGAGTCGTGTTTGAGAAGGAGTTTTAGCGAAACTAGAAGTGACTACGAAATGACAAACATTAATCCATAGAAGACGACGGCTACTGGAATTGTAAATGATCAAATACAAGCGTTTTCGTAAACTTTACGTATCTTGAAAGTCGTTTTTAGTAAATATTATAATATGTACATAACAAATTATAAGAAGATGAGTATGAAACGCCCGTAGGCGCAATTCAATTTTTTTTTCGAGGCGAAGCGTTAAACAAATTTATGCCAAATATACTCGTGGGGAAGGAAGCCCTCCATACTTGCTTTTAGCTTACATTTAACAGCTCTGGCAATTTTTATATCTCACAAGATTTTCACGTCGCATTTTATTGATTAATTGTTATTGTTACCAAGGCTGGTCCCGAGAGATGTTTAGGGGATGTCACACCACGTCCCTACACACCGATCTCTACGAATAAATAAATTACAATGCCAAATATGAAACGATTACAAAATCAAAAAAAAAAAAAATAAAATAAAATAACCACTAAAAGATTATATCACAAATTAAGATAATATTAGATGAAGACGATATCAGCGCACTATATTTTGTTTTTTCTATCCGGTCTATTTGTAAAATTTGAGTTTATATAAATTAATTTTGATTTATTACCTTTAATATTAGAGAAAATTGACATAATGAGAACTTTAAATTAAGACAATTATTAGTTTTTTATGATACTTGAAATGTGTTGTGATAAAATATATATTTATAAATTACAATGTTAAATATACAAAACATATACATATTAAAATATTGTAAAAAAGTAAACGTAAAATCAAAGTTGATGTTCCAAAATTTGGTTTAGTAATAAGGTAATAATAAAGTAATAAGTAAATAAATTTTAATATTGAATCTAAAGACACGATATTGGTTGTATTTAAATAAAATATTATTAGATATAAGATATTAACAGCGGTTATGGTTGCAATAAGTTTTAGTGATGAAAACAATAAGTCTTATCAATTTTTAAAGTTTAAGGTTGTAAATATTATCATATGAAATATAAAAGATGATTTTATTTGTAATAAATATCACGAGGAAAGGAAGAAGACGCGTATATGGTAATACCGGATTAATGTTCAAAACTTGATAAACAAAAATAAGTTAGTCATCGATGTTATCCGTCATATTTTAAGCGGAACCTCAAACCATAAAAACTAATTTTATAGATTTAAGTAGTTTAAAATAAATTTAAATATTCGTACACATACATATATATATATATATATATATAATATTTAAATTACATATTTTATAACCGTCAAGAATAAGTAGTTTCAAAGTAAATTAGGATCAAACATGCACATTACTCGCATATTAATGTCTACCATTAACACAATCTCAGTTACTTATATTACTACTGAATAACAATATTTAATTACTGATATTAAATCACACTTGACCTTGAAATATAAAAAAAAAGTTAGTATACCTTTGTATAAATATAATTGCAAAAAAGTATATAATTTTTTTTATTGTTAGCAAGCCGTTAGTTAATTGAACACTAAACACACTTTACTAATTTTTAAACATAAATAAATATTATAATACAATAAATAAAGTTTGTATAATTAGATAAGATATTGCAATTTTGTTTGATTATAATTTATAAAATACATCATAACTATATAATATTGATATTTAATTTTGTTTCTTATTTTCACCGTTCCATACAAACAAATATAGTACTTATACTTAAGTAGCCATCAAGTCGAGACGCCGAGTGCTTAGTGCAATGTAATAACGATATTATCCAACACATGTGTACCCACTGTGACATATTGCTTGTCATAACATATTTTTACATAATATTTTAAGTAAGAATAAGGCTTTTTTAATTTTAAAAATGGATAGTTTTTTTTTTTTTTTTAGAATATTGAAGCTCAAAGATTCGCACACTTTATATTTCATTCTTTTCATCAAAATGTGCAATATTATGTTTTGTAAATTTGTTAGAATAAAAATATTTTATGACATACAAATTGATTGACAACTCAACGAAAAATTAACCTGATAAAACAAACGACTATCAGCTTGAATATAACTGTCATAAGCTTATAATTATCATATAATATTCTTGTGTCGTATCGTAGTAAAGACTTTATATCTTAATAAGGCGTATAAAAAGTTATAGAAAAATAGTGATTTGATTGATTTTAGAAAGTAGGTGGTTGTAAATGCACGTCGTAATGTGCCGGAGAAAAGAAATTTTATTATAAAATGTTTATTTACAATGTAAATTTTTATAAAAATATTATATTTTAATACTGTATAAATAAAACGTGAAAAAAATACATAATTTCAGTTATAAATTCTAAAAAATCAATAAAACCAAAGGTCACAAAAACATTGATTCTACTACCACGTCACTGCATCCAGTGAAATACAATTGGCGTTTGAAACACTTATGTTTAAAATAAAATGTATGCTGATTTTATATAGACGCAAACATACTTACGTCTCCTCTACTCCTACCGCATAAGGAGAGGGGCCAGTGGTGCTAGCATAGACGTTATATTAATACATGGACTGTTCAGACCCTATATTCGGCTACAGGTTGCTAAGAGCCAATATTGTTAGGAAGGGATATAATTTATACCTGTGCAAACGGTGGGCCCTAAAGTATATTCGTATGCTATCATTTTTTTTATGTTTGTTTTAAAATTTCCCTCTCTCTTTCTCTCTCTTGCTATTTCTTGGTATAAATGGTCTCAAGTTATATGTTGTATTTTTTCAACAATATTGGCTCCTGGACTTCATTTTTCTCTTTCTGTTATTAGTCTATTTACTTACAGGTCGATGGTGTCATCACTCCAAAGTCATACATTCACCTATAGGAACATCGTAAGTCACTATACAGTGTAATAGCCATTAGGTAGGCATCGATGATGTGTATTTTCTTATTTTTTAAAATTTTTTTTTAGTGTTATTGACGTATTTTTGATTTCCAAAATCAAATTTATTCGAATCTGAGGATATTAGATTATTTAAATTAAACTTATTAAACTCATTGTGTCTTACACCTATAAAATCTTTTTTCTTAGACTCGAACAGATTTATAGACGATTTATAGACGACACATACTTTATGAAATAGAATTATATCAACTGAATCGGCTATGGAATAATTTCTAAATAACACATGGCCGAAAGATACTGTTCAAACTTCAAATAAATAGACAATAGTTGTATCGAAATTTTTTGAAAAATAATGTAACTTTCATATCGATATCTTCATCACACGAAATATTTTAATTGTTAAAACATACAACAAGAGTGATATTCATATTTTCCAATTATTATCTACTCAGACGTAACTTTGGATTAATGCTTGTTTTATTCAAAGTTAATTAAAAATAATACGTAGCCGATTACAAGTTACAAATGTAACTTGGTTACGCAACTTTGATACGCCGTATAACCGATTACTCTTCAAGAACCCTGATCGTACACAGGAGAGGTAAAAATAATTTCGAACACCCCACTAATATAATAATCGGCGCGCCCCTGTTTGCTCCGCGAGCGTATATTTTATTAGTCCACCGCGGCGGCTTAATACGTTTTACTCGCCACCGAAGCCGCTTTTGCTTTGGCCTAGATGGCATAGATGGCATGTAGTATGTTACGCGCCTATACCTATATATTCCAGCGCACTCAAAAGGGGTCGTGTAAAGGTGTGTATAATAATAATTAATAACGAATGGCCCCGCACCGATGTGCGCTTTAATACGCAACCGTCGTCGTTTCGGCCGAACGATTCGCCGCGTTTAATGTGAGTATATAATATATATACATATACATATACATATATGTATTTATACGACCGAAATAACTGTTATTCACCAACACACACAAACACTTGTGTGTTAGCGCAAATGTGTATAAATGTAGTTTTGTGCGCGCGCAAACGTTATAAAACCGCTCAATCGTAAAGCGATATCGTTTACTAACACGAATTTGCGGTGACCGCTGTGTACATAGGCTCATTGGCGTAAGTATGATTAAAAATTGGAGAAGATACTAGAAATATTA